ATTTGCCAAGAGTCAAGAATCATCAGGTGTAACACTTAATGACAGTCATAGGGTACAATAAGCAATCAAATCATACCAGGAAACAGTCAATATGAATCGTAAGGATGCAAGTGACAAAGTTACAGTCATTCAGTCATAAGTGGGAGGGGATGGGTAATAAGGAGTGATGAGAACATTAACAAGAATAGTAGTGCAGACTTTGTAAATAGTTGAACAGTGTTGAGGGAATTATTTGTTTAACAGAGTGATGGCTTTTGGGAAAAAACTGTCCTTGTATCTAGTTGTTCTTGTGTGCAGGGCTCTATAGCGTCATTTTGAGGGTAGGAGTTGAAATAGTTTATGTCTGGGATGTGAGGGGTCTGCAGATATTTTCACAGCCCTCTTTTTGACTTGTGCAGTATACAGTATACATTGAAGGCAGGTTGGTAGTAATTGTTTTTTTCTGCAGTCCTAACTATCCTCTGGAGTCTGTGTCTCTTCTCTTGGGTTGCAGAACCAAACCAGACAGTGATAGAGGTGCAGAAGATGGACTCCATCATTCCTCTTTAGAACTGGATCAGCAGCTCCTTGGGCAGTTTGAGCTTCCTGAGTTGGCGCAGAAAGAACATTCTTCGTTGTGCTTTTTTGATGACGTTTTTGATGTTAGGTGTCCATTTTAAGTTATGTGATATAGTAGAACCTGGAAATGTGAAGGTCTCTACTGTTGATACTGTGTTGTCTAGTATTGTAAGAGGTGGTAGTATGGGAGGATTTCTTCTAAAGTCTACCATCATTTCTACAGCTTTGAGTGTGTTCAGTTCCAGATTGTTCCGGTTACACCACGAGGCAAGTTGTATAACTTCCTGTCTGTATGCAGATTCCTTGTTGCCTCGAATGAGACCAATCACTGTTGTGTCATCAGCAAACTTCAGTATTTTAACAGATGGATCGCTTGAGATGCACTCATTGGTATATAGGGAGAAGAGAAGTGGAGAAAGCACACAGCCTTGGGGCCCCTGTGCTGATTGTACAGGTATCGGATGTGATTCCACCTAGCTTCACCTGCTGCTTCCTGTCTGTTAGGAAGCTTATGATCCACTTACAAGTGTGCTCAGGTACTGCTAGTTGGTTTAATTTAGTTAGAAGAACGTCTGGAATGATGGTATTCAATGCTGAACTGAAATCATCATTGCCAAGATCCCAATTGCTTAGGGGAAAATAGGTTACAACTCTGAAGAAGAACCAGAGCTCAGGCAGGGCGATGGTTATTGTAGTCCAGAATCTCTGGGGGGGTAGCAGGTTGAAAAAAAAAACAACCCTTTCTCCCTTTTTATCTCAAAAGCCAAACCCTGCATCTGAATCGAGTCAGGATGGAGTTTGAAGGGACCATAGAGATGTTCTAGTCCAGCCCCCTGCTCAAAGCATGAGATGCTATATCATTGGTTTGGTGTATCTAGATTGCATCAATATTAGAAATAATCTTATATATATATCCACATTGCAATAAAAAAGGGTTTTTTTCCTCCAGATGTAGAACTGTCAGTCGTCCAGTTGGGGTTTTTACATTTGCCAAGATCAACCGTTCCAAAAACGCTTTGTCTCCCTTTTGTTTGCAAAACCTTGCTTTTTGCTGCAGCCTTTTTCCTTTCTCCTTTTGTGATGTTTTTGTTTTTTTCCCTTCCCCTACTTGAGGCTTGAATTGTTGTGTTTGTTCTTGAAAGCTGTAAAGAAAAATGAAGTGAAAAAGCACATTAAGAAATATTCCCCTTGCTTTTTATTAGCTGTTGGTTTCTCTTCCAGGACTCCCCTCCTGTCTTCTTCTACCTTTTCCAGCTCCTGAAAAAAAAGAAAAAAAATCAAAGATATATAACACCTAGGAAGGAAAATTGCCCTGGAGAAACTCTTAATAAAGCTCACCATCTTTTTTACTATAAGCGGCGGTAAATTTCACTGAAGTGGCAAAGACAGAGAACCAAGTCCCCAAAGAAGCAATCCAGACATTTTATCCGGTGGCTGCAGAACAGAGCTCTTTTCAACAGCGTTTCGTGCATCACCATTTTGTCCCCATATATACAGGTGACAGATCAGTGACAAGGAGCAGAGGCTCACCTATCCATCACCCCCCAGCACAGGGAATTTACAGCCGTTGCGAATAAGGCTGGCTGGAAATGGCTCCAATCAGACCAATGACTCAAAAGGCAATGTTTCTTGTTTTTTTTTTACAGTGGCCAAAGGAAGTTTACCTGCAGACACGAAAACCAGCACCACTAAATCAATCAATCCATCAGAACAGAGCTGGAAGGGGCCTTGGAGGCTTTCTAGTCCACCCCCCCCCTTGCACAAGCAGGAGACCCTACACCAGGGATGTCAAACTCAGGGGCCAAAAAGACAATCCTGGGAACTCTGCTAAGATATGTTCCCAGAGAAGGGAGCGGGGAATAAACATGTTGGTTCTTTGTTTGACTAAATCCACATCTAAAATAAAGGGGAGGAATTCTAACTTCCTTTATCTGTGACTGTGTGCCTGGAAATATCTTAGACTCTGCTTTGACTAGCGTTGGGTTTAAATCCCTCTCAATAAAGGATTCCTTTCGAAACACCTGGTTTTCGGACGTTCGTTCTTTTTGGTTGAAGGGGAAAAGTCCAATGCTTACACCTCAAGTGCTGAAGCACCCACAGTTTCTGCAAGGAAGCTTTTCCATTGGTTAAGGACAGCGCCCCAGAGGGTTAATGTCATTTCCCAGGGGATCCTGGGTTGCCCTCTCCCCTCTTTGGAAGAGTTTTATATTTCCCGCTGCCTCAAGAAAGTTCAAAACATTCTCAATGATCCATCTCATCCTGGGCACCTTTATTTATTTCTTTTCTTTTTTTGAACTATTACCATCTGGCAGACAGTGCAGGATAATAATAAAAACAAGGACAAATAAGCTGAAAAACAGCTTCTATCCCAGGGCAGTAACTCTATTGAATTCTACTGTATAGGGCAATACGAATGCAATTATCAGGGGTTTTCAATTCAGGTGTATAGAATGGGAAGGATGTGTGTTTATTTTCAGTCATAATGTACACTGAAGATGGCATTTAATTTCATTGCGTGAGGTGCAATGAGAATAAGCTAAACTAAACTAAACTCAAAATGGTTCTCACCATTAAGAAGTTTCTCCTTAATTCCAGGTTGCTTCTGTCCTTGAATTAGTCTCCATCCATTGCTTCTTGTCTTGCCTTCTGGTGCTTTGGAAAATAAGTTGACCCCCTCAAATATTGGAAGTTCCCTCAAATCATGGTCCTTCTCTTCATTAAACTAGACGTAACCAATTTTGGCAACCGTCCTTCACATGTTTTTGATGAATGACTGCATGGTTCAGCTAATTTCTGTGATTTACTGAACTCTGGCAAAAAAAAGGTTTTTGTTTTTTTTCAAAATCAGGTATGACTCACTCAACGACCGCCTTGCAAAGCAAGAGAAATCCCGTTGCCATATTTTGATCATTGTAAGTCAAGGAGTATCTGCATTTTGTGCTGACTTCCAAGAATTTCCTGGCTGGCCTCAGCTGAGCAGCCAGTACCAGCCAGAGGAAAGCGGTGCCAAGTTTATTTTATTGGAATTGCCAGATTAATTTTCACTTGTCACCTAAACAGGATACACAAACCTCCTTTTGCAAATGGGCTGTCAGCTGCAAGGAACAATTCTTTTCTTGACTCCCCACCGGGCTGCTAATTATACAGCTGAAGTATTAATGGCAGAGTTACAACTGTAAAAATGCATGACAGTTTCGCAGTTACTCACATCGTACGGGAACAAGGTGTGCTATCTTTTTTGGGAGGGGGGGTGTCAATGAATGGAATCCGTCGCTGAACCCTCATTGTCAATATTTGGAATTTAGGACTGAACTGGGAGCAAGCTTCCCAGCTGGGAAATTGCAATTGCACCTATTCTGGAAAGCTGTTGATCATCCCAACTGTTGGGCCAGTGAAGAGATCCTTTCCCCTTATCAGTCAAAGGGGTTTCCTTGGAATGCCAGGTTTCTGGAAGAGTCCCTTCCCCACCCCCAGATCCTCATGGCTCTCACCCTAATAGCTGCCAGGAGTCTTTAAAAATCTGACTCTTCTCCTAAGCCCTGGAAGACGTAGGGTGCTACTGAGTGGCCTTGCCTTATATCTTAGGTACTTTATGGAGTTTGCCCTGCATGGACGTCATGGGGTGGTTTCTTTTTTTTTTGGCTGTTGTGGTTTTTTATTCCTTTATAATTCAGTTGGTGTTAAGGGCTCTGTTCAACCTTCATCTGCTTCTTCTCAGCTATGCTTTCCTCAGCTAATTTCTAGTTAGAATAGAATTGAAAATAGAATAGAATAGAATAGAATAGAATAGAATAGAATAGAATAGAATAGAATAGAATAGAAAATAGAATAGAATAGAATAGAATAGAATAGAATAGAATAGAATAGAAT